ATGGGACTGTGACAGCACTGCCTGGGACACGGGACACGGGACACGGGACATGGGACTGTGACAGCACCGCCTGGGACACGGGACACGGGACACGGAACATGGGACATGGGGACAGGGGGACAGGAGTGGCACAGGGGGTGGCACAGGGGTGGCACAGAGGTGACACAGGGGTGGCACAGGGGGTGGCACAGAGGTGACACAGAGGTGACACAGAGGTGGCACAGAGGTGACACAGAGGTGACACAGGGGTGACACAGGGGTGACACAGGGGTGACAGGGGTGGCACAGAGGTGACACAGGGGTGACAGGGGTGGCACAGAGGTGACACAGGGGGTGGCACAGGGGTGGCACAGAGGTGACACAGGGGTGGCACAGAGGTGGCACAGGGGTGGCAGGGGTGGCAGCCAGGCCGCCCCAGCCCACCCCGCTCACCTGCAGCCCCTCGGGGTCGGCCGTGGGGCTGGTGCTGAACAGGGACACCTTGGGGCCGGCTCTGTCGGGGCGCTCGTAGAAAATCAGCTCCCCCCGGCCGTCCTGGGGACAGGTGGGGACAGTGAGCACGGGCACAGGTGGGGACAGTGAGCACAGGGACAGGTGAGGATCAGGACAGGTGAGCACAGGTGAGCACAGGGACAGGTGAGCATGGGGACAGCTGAGGACAGGGATAGGTGAGGACAGGTGAGCATGGGGACAGGAAAGGGAAAGGGACAGGTGAGGATCAGGACAGGTGAGCACAGGTGAGCACGGGGACAGGTGAGCATGGGGACAGCTGAGGACAGGGACAAGTGAGGATGGGGACAGGGATAGATGAGCACAGTGAGCAGAGGCACAGGTGAGGATGGACACAGATGACCACAGGTGAGCACAGTGAGCACAGGGACGGGCACAGGTGAGGATGGACACAGGTGAGCACAGTGAGCACGGGGACGGGCACAGGTGAGCACAGTGAGCACGGGGACGGGCACAGGTGAGCACAGTGAGCAGAGGCACAGGTGAGGATGGACACAGGTGAGCACAGTGAGCATGGGGACAGGTGAGGATGGACACAGGTGAGCACAGTGAGCACGGGGACGGGCACAGGTGAGCACAGGTGAGCACGGGGACAGGTGAGGATGGACACAGGTGAGCACAGCCAAGCACGGGGACAGGCACAGGTGAGCACAGTGAGCAGAGGCACAGGTGAGGATGGCCACAGCCCAGCACAGGGACGGGCACAGGTGAGCACAGTGAGCAGAGGCACAGGTGAGGATGGCCACAGCCCAGCACAGGGACGGGCACAGGTGAGCACGGGGACAGGTGAGGATGGCCACAGGTGAGCACAGGGACGGGCACAGGTGAGCAGAGGCACAGCCCAGCACAGCGCCGGGCCCAGCCCCTCCAGCCGCCCCTCACCGGCGTGCGGCGCAGCTTCAGCCGGCCCCGCGGCACGCGGAAGAACGTGTCGGTCTGGAGCAGCACCTGCCCGGCCCCGGGCCACTGCTGCGGCGGCTCCTGCCCGGCCCCGGGGCGCTCCCGGGTCGGCTCCTGCCCGGTCCCGGGGCCGTCCGCGCCCAGCGCCCGCAGTGCCAGGGCCGCCCTCAGCACTGCCTCCCGCTCCCTCAGCCGCGCCTTCACCTCCACGTTCCGCCGCATCCCGCCGAGCGCTCCCATTGGCCGCCGCGCGCGCGACGCCCCCCCCGAGCCGCCTTTCTATTGGTCGGACAAACCGTCAATCAGCGAATCGCGTCGCTATTGGTTAGACGCGGCTGGGTCCCGCCCTGGCCGAGCCGGACCGGGTGGCGGCCACCATGGCGGCGGCGGCGGGGGGCGCGGGCGGCGGCGGCGCGGACGGTGATGTCCCCGCCGCCACCCGCCTGCAGGCCTACGCCTGGTGCCGCGAGTTCCTGGCCGGCTCCTGGAAGCTCATCGGCCCCGACGAGTTCGGCATCTCGCTCGTCAGGTAGGAAGCGGAACGGGAGAGAGGCGGGACCCCCCCCCCCCCCGCTCCCCTCAGTGGTCTCGTCCCGGGGCTCGGGGAGGTGTCCCCTCCCTGTCCCCTCCCGGTGGCCCCGATTGTCCCCGGAGCGGTGGCCCTGTCCCCTCCCTGTCCCCTCCCGGTGTCCCTGTCCCC